GACAGTCTGTGGTGCAACATGACGTTGGTGAATGGAGCGATACATGATGTCCCAGATGTGCTCAACTGGATTCAGGTCTGGGGAACGGGCGGGCCAGTCCATAGCATCAATGCCTTCGTCTTGAAGGAACTGCTGACACACTCCAGCCACATGAGATCTAGCATTGTCTTGCATTAGGAGGAACCCAGGGCCACCGCACCAGCGTATGGTCTCACACGGGGTCTGAGGATCTCATCTCGGTACCTAATGGCAGTCAGGCTACCTCTGGCAAGCACATGAAGGGCTGTGCGGCCCCCCAAAGAAATGCCACCCCACACCATTACTGACCCACTGCCAAACCGGTCATGCTGGAGGATGTTGCAGGCAGCAGAACGTTCTCCACAGCGTCTCCAGACTCTGTCACGTCTGTCACATGTGCTCAGTGTGAACCTGCTTTCATCTGTGAAGAGCACAGGGCACCAGTGGCAAATTTGCCAATCTTGGTGTTCTCTGGCAAATGCCAAACGTCCTCCACGGTGTTGGGCTGTAAGCACAACCCCCACCTGTGGACATCGGCCCTCATACCACCCTCATGGAGCCTGTTTCTGACCGTTTGAGCAGACACATGCACATTTGTGGCCTGCTGGAAGTCATTTGCAGGGTTCTGGCAGTGCTCCTCCTGACTTGGAGTTACATTGTGTTGTTTAAATTTTCCCTTTATTTTTTTGAGCAGTGTATGTGAATGTAAGTGCATGTAATTTCTCTAACAAAAGAGGGTTTGGGGTGTAGAATGTAACACAAAAAAGTCTACAGTTTGGAAGCGGGTTGCCAAAATACATTTATGCCCCATGTGCTATGTAACCTTGGTCAGGGCCGCCATCAGGGGGTGACAACTATGACAGCTGTCGGGGCCCGGCTGCCCAGACCCCATGTGTAGCGGCGGAGCTGGCCCGTTGAAAAAAATTGCAGCCGCAAGTAGTGGTAGGTCACTTCACTCCCAGCTCACTCCACGCGGGAGGGAAGAGACCTTGAAGAATGAGAGACAGCCGACTCCCATCAGCTCCAGCCTCCCTCCTGCACTGAAAATGTAAGAAACAGGATGGTTGCTGAAAAATGAGCTGTGTGTGTTTGTATGTATGTATCTGTATGTATGTGAGTATGTATGTGTCTGTCTGTATGTATATGCCAGTATTTATGTATGTATGTATGATTGTGTAGCGGGACCTGCGTAAACTGGCTGGTTATTCCCGTTATTAATAATAGGTCAGACCCATTTCCCCCAGTAACTGGACGACACACAGTTCCAGGGTACAACCTTTGACAACCTTTATTTGGGCACACAGTTTTTTATGTACAGACCCCCGCAAGGGGTCTCCATCCAACAGAACACAATCCTAGGCAGGAGGTGGCTGGGTTAGAGATAACCATCTCCCACTCTGGGAGATACCAACAGGACACAGGGACACACATGAAAACACATTACATACAGGGGGGTGAACTTTGGGGCTCAGCGCCCTGGGACAGGAAAGGGTTACAGGGTTGAAACTATATATATTGCTAAATAGCCCCGGGTACCATCTGGGAACCCTGCAAAAAGCGGGGTGATCGGATGTACAGAGCCTGAGATATCAGCATTCAAAGTCTGGGGCTCGAGGCTCTGTACATCCCCGAAATTAGTTCCATGGAGTTGCTTGGTTTAGTCCAGCAAATTCAAACTTCGCGCCTAAACCAAGCAACAGCCAATCGGCTGAAAGGGCACGAGCCAAATCACACCAGTCAGCGCTCGGGGGAGGAAGGAGTTTGCCGCCCAATCAGAAGAAAGAGTGTTCGTGGAGGAGAGGGGTTTCGTGGCCCAATCAGAAGAAAGGGTGCAAAACTCCACTTGAAGGGTCGCCCTGCAGCGACCAACCAGTGCTTATTCGTGCTGACCAACCAGGAGAATGGCGCAAACCCTGTTTGAATGGGCGCTCCTTCTCCCATTGGTCAGCACAGACTTCCACGCGGCCAGCGGGATCCTGCAGCTGTGAGACCGACTCACAGCTCCAGAGATTCCCTACTGGCGCGCGTCCCTCTCTCCGGTGGATACCCCCATGCAGGTTCTCCTGGGCAGCCATGAGCCTAGACTCATAGCTGCCAGATAAGGGGTTAAAAGTGATTATAGCTCCGTTGGGGAGCGGGTAGGATGATCCCCGACTTGCGGATCAAAGATAATGCGCGCAGGCCGGTTCGCCCTTGGAGGGTGTTCGGTGATACAGCCACCCAGTGGAAGCACGCTCCGCTTGTTCCCTTGCGGTTTGCAGTTTTCACCTCGTTAGCGAGGTGTGAACATTCTAACTAAACATTCTAAATGGAGTATTGGGGTGGTCCGGCGCATGGAGCGCCCCCACGTTAAAATGTACTTTGCATGATTTAGAGTCAAAATTACAGAAAGGGGTAAAATTACAAAGGGGGAACACACATTCCAGGGAAGTACATCCACAAATATGAAAGGGTAATTTACAGTTAGACAGCGGTCCCGCAACAGTATGTATGCCAGAATGTATGTATCTGTATGTATGTATGTCCTTATGCATGTGTGTGTGTCTGTATGTATGTTAGTATGTGTCTGTGTGTCACTATGTATGTCTGTGTGTCTGTTTCAGTGCGTATGCCTGTATGTGTGTATGTCTGTTTCAGTATGTGTGTGTTAATATGTATGTATTCCTGTGGGCAGGCTTTGGAGGCGGGCCCTGGAGCGGGATTTGGGGGCAGGCTTGGAGGCGGGCCCTCGGGGTCCTAGACCTTGAGCTGTATTAAGGGCCCCAAAACTTCTAAAGGCCTTGGTACACCTGTGCAGTCACCACTTACTTCTGGCAATTCTGCCAATAATAGCCTTCTTGTTGGGGTACCTACTGCTGCTGTCTGTCTAGGGTGTAAATAGGCTGTCCTATTTGACATAGTCTGATTAGATAATCCAGACTTTCTATACAGGTTTCGCACCTCAAGAAAAAATACGTTATTTGTAACATTGGAGTATTTTTTTTTATTTTTTATTTTGGTCGTGCATGGGTTAACAATCACATCTGCATAGCCACAACAGCAGGTGCAGTCCGAGCAAAGGTACATCAATTAACATATACGTGGCTTCAAGTACTAGCACATTTTTTGTTAAGATAGGTATAAGCAGAAAGTTAGTTGCGAAGATCTATGCATATCATATCATACAGTCTAACTGAAAATAAACTAGCGATATTAGTATGCGTTAAAATCACGAGATGTGTGTTCGCCTTACAAATTTGAATTGATGGGGTTAACCTTCTTTGCAGACCTCACTGGGGGCACACTGGCCATTCACTGCAGAAAAAAGGACTGAGATACAAATGGCTCCAAGCCCGAACACTGCAGATACTACACAGGGATGACAAACACGAGGTCCATGACCTACAAGAAGTGGCATCCTTGCTACCCACTCTAGGACTTCCACAAGACTCTTTTTGGAACATTGGAGTATTTTTAATTCCATCTAGACTATTTGGCCCGCAGAAT